GGACCAGCCCAGCTCCCCCCGGCGGGGCGGAGCGGCCCCCGCCTCGGCCCGACCCGGGTTGCCGCCACCCGCCGCCCCACGGGTGATGGCGGCTGCCCTGGGACCCCCACCCCGGGCGGCGGAGGCAGGTGCGGCGACCCGAGGAGGAGGAGGAGAAGCCCGGAGAGGAAGGGACTGAGGACACGCGGCCGCGGGGCCGCCCCTCGGGACCCTGCCCTCAGCTCGGGGCGGCACAGGGGTCCCCGGCCCGAACCCCATTCTGTCCCCCCGGCTGTGGAGCCGGTGAGGGTGAGCTCCACGGGTGACCCGCCGCCTTCCCAGCGGGCTTTTCCCGCGGCCAAGGGCAGGAAGAGGGAATTTTTCTCTAAGTTGGCACCCGAATCCATAGGATAACAAAGGGAGCGTTAGCGGGGTGCCTGCCTGTCAGCCCTGGATTAGCCCTCAGAACCGGCTGGGGAGAAAGTAGTAACTCCAAGTACGAGGGTTTACATCTGTGGAACTGACACACAGGTGTGAGGTTAATTACACTGTCATTACGCTCCCCACAGTGCTGTGGGGCGAGCGGCCGGGTGGCCAGCAGTGAGGTATGCAGTGCCCCACTCCACAACAGGCAGGTGTGTGTGTGATCCCCATGAGGGAGAGGGAAATCAGGGTTTCAGCAACCTTCTCCCCCCATTCCCTGACATTTGTGTGTTTCAGGACCTAGTCTCAGGTGTAACTAACAAATAAGTTAGAGTTAGGCTCGCTACCTTAAGGTGGTGGAGCCCTGTGCTTTGTGCTGCCCATCAGTGGGGCTGGACAGGATGTTGATATGATCAGGAGGGTCATGGTTTAGTGATAAAATAGACGTTTGATTACAGCGTACATCCACTGAGCAGAAAACAAGGCTTTGTGTCACCAGAAGTGTGTAGGGTTGAGCCCACAGCCCAGAACTCTGCGTGGGAAAAATCCCCTGGAATTCTGTGGCTGCCAGAGCAGGCCAAGGAGGACGGACGTGTGCAACACACGTGAGGTTTGTCAACGAGGCACATCTGTGGGGGTACGCACAAGAATACAATGGGTGGGTTACAATACTAAATAAATGTTTTCGCTCTCCAAAAACACCCGACCGTTTAGCGTAGATAATAACACAGTACAAAAAGAGTGTTACAGGTGGGAAGGCACCATTCAGGCAAGTGCTGTAACAGACCATCAGGTTACTAAGCAAGGGCATCTATATCTTTTAAGTTTTCATGATCTGGTTTGAAAAATAGTTTAGCTTCTGTTTGGAAACACAAGAAGGAGCAAGCGAGGTTCTCGTCCTGCAAGAACTTCAGTAGGTTGCTTTGCTGGGAGACTCAGTAAAGTTATTCACATGCTTAACTGTTTAATAGAAGAGGTCTTTTTGAACTGCACTGAAACTGCTGTCAAGCTTCCCAGGTTAAACATGCTGGAAAGAACACATGTTTTTCCTGTGCTTTTTCAACTGATGTCTTGGTGAATGTAGCTTTAAAGATGGTTAGATTCTGCTAGTGCAGCCTTTAAGTGGATGTGTTCCTTTTAAAAAGAAATCTTTTGAAACTGTTCATTCAAATAACCAACAGAATTGTATAAAGCAGTGGGGTGTGTGTGATTACATAGTGCAAAGCCCTGTGAATTCAACCCTGCCTGTTTTTTTTCCAGATATTTAACCTACGGGGTTTTCTTCTTGTTATTTAAAAAGTGTAATTTCTTCTCATGTTCCTGCAAAAGAGCTTATGAGGAAAGAGGTCTCTTATTGCCTCCCGAAAGGGAAGTGGTGATTCCTGGAACCTTTTCTTGGGCGGAGTAAATGCATCAGCAGGGCTGAAAGCATGACTCGCTGTTTCGAAGCCGAGTGAAGTTCATCAGCAAAGCAACACAAAAGAAGGAGAGGGCAGTGGAGCAGTGTCTTGGCAAGCAATGGTTAAAAAGCCTCACATCCAGTTTGCAGCGCCGCAGGTCTCTCAACTTCCCCATTAAGAGCAGTGAAATCCAGAAGCTGGAGGCTAAGGAAGCGCCTCTGCCATCCATTTTCTGTTGTGCTGCTGCCACTGTTCTGTCTGGCCTAGTTTTAAACATCCTGAGCAATAGGACTGCCCTGGAGAGGTTTCTGTAATAGTAGCATTCATTTCCTCGGAGTTAGAGTTGTCTCCAGGGCACAGTTCAGGTAGCTGCTCGTGTGCTGAGAAGAGCTGTTGGTCGTAAGAGAAAGAATCTTTTCCCCTCTTCCCACCTGGAGCTCTCACCAGAGCCTCACAGCTGCAGGAGGCTCTGCTGTGTCTGGTGTGTTCCTGTGGTACCAGGGGAAATACTGGAAAATGCCGTCACGTTCCCTAACACTTCCCCTGGCCTGCCCTGCAAACGGAGAGGCCAGAGAAAATGAATCTGCTCCTGGTTACCTTGTTTAAAGCCTGTAGAGGAACTTTTCTGCCTCACTGCATGCAGCTCTACACAGGAGCAGGTGCATCACGTGGTGAGCCAAGAGCTTCTAACACAGAAATGACCAGGTTTCCTGGTCTGATTTGCTTTTCTTCACTGAAGCCAAATTAATTAAATACTTGGTAATATAGCAAAATTAAGGGCTCAAAGTAAATGTGAAGATTGCTCTTGTGTTCAGTGTGTAAAAGATATTTTGAGGGGATTTTGTTCTTCAAACCAGATTTTGGCCTGAATTAATTTGGTTATTCCACTCTCTGAATTGTGCAGCAACAGAACTTCAGACATAAAGAAATTTCAATAAAGTCACCTCAAAGCTAACCACAATGCTTGCTTCTACTTAAAGCTGTTTATTTTTAAACTTCTCGCTATTTTCGAGCTACTTTCTAAAAGGTTGACATTTACGTGTAACATCAGACCCACGGTGAGAAGGGCGCTGGTCTTCTCCTGAATTAACAGTGGAGGCAGAATGCCTCTGGAGCTTTGAGGAGGATGGTTTCTGAATCTCATCTCATAAAGAGCCACATGCTCAGCCAGTGAATGACATTTATTCTTTTCCAAAGAGCAGTTTATTCTTTGTATGATACGCTACATAAGAGGTGGGTGTACTTTGCTTTTAAGATTCCAGAGCCACTTGAACTTGGTTAGCTTTCTGTTTTCAGAGGAACTGAACCTTCCTATAAACTGCCAGGCAGTGATCTTGGGGGAAAGAAGATTGAGAGACGTGTTAGTCACATACCCCCCTATCCGCTTGGGTCGTGGAGCAAGGCAACGGTGGCTTCAGGAGAAAAGAGACATTGACTCAAGAAGCCTGGAAGAACTCGATGTTGTGTTGTTCCAAGACACTGGCATGAGCCATGTGCCTGCAAGACAGCAATGAAACTGGGAGACTAAACGCAAGGTGGAGAAGTGTCTCAAAGGAGGAGATATGGTTTGGCCAAGAAAAAGGGGGTTAATAATTGCAAGAGGCAAGGGACATTGGCAAGAGAACTGGTTTATGGCCTGATCAGAGTTGTCTTACCTGTGGGAGCTGCAAGTATTCATCTTAGAGCTGCTGCAGAGAAAATGATACCTGTAAGAATGACAAGTCTTAGGTTATACTTCATTAGATTCTTGTATATAATTTTGCTGCAATGAAACCCTTCTCTTGAATGCAATATTTTTATCTTTCCTTACTGTTAGCCTGCAGAATAATTGAGTCAAATTCTACTCCTTCTAAGTTAAAGGACTGTCTTTGTCAATACCATTCTGCGGGTCTCTCCAGCTTGCAAGGGGAAGGAAACCATTCTGCATTCTCATAAAAGCTTTTAGAAAAAAAAAATGTGATTATGAAAGTTCTTTACTGGAGCCTTCTCAGTACCTCTGAATAGGCAAGCTCCAGTTTCACAAGAGAACAGTGAAGATTTATTAGTTTTTAAGGTAAGAAGTTTTTCTTGTGCTGGTGGTGCTTGCTGGGGAAGGCCGTGGGGCCAGATTGCTGATGAGTCATGGCTCCTCCAGTTTATACTGCAGGTCCATAGCCTGCACCTTCAGGCTCCACACCCCCATAGACTTCTCTTCAACTCTTCTTTCTTTGGCCTCATATCTCCTTGGAGACTTCATCACAGTTATGATAAGTCTCAACCGGTGGCTGTAATGGAGCTGTGCCTAATTGAACCATCTGAAAACACGTTTAAAGCTTTTAAACACCTTTTTATTTTTTTCCTCCCAAAATTAAATGTTTATTCCCTGAACTCTCTTTTAGTTTTTAACTGACAAATCTCATTGTAATTCATTTGAGCGCTATTGTGAGGATACTTTCCAAGGGAACAGAAAACAGATGTGATAAATGCCTGAATATGAGATTTAACCTAGCATCTGTTGTTTTAAAGAAGCATTACAAAACAAAGGAGGATAACCGTGTTTTGTTTGCGTTTAACTGGTAGGTGATACACTTGATTTTCTGTGGTGCTCTTTTCAGGTTACATTGAAAACACGTGGCAGAAATGTGCATTGAGATAAACTCATTTGACCTGTCCAGTTTGCCATGGTTATGACACTTTTGTACTATTTTTGCAAGAGTCAGCATATGGATGGTGTTTCAGATCAAATGAATCCACTATTCACAATAGAGATTAAACTCTTGCTGCAAGATAAGGAAGTGAAGAGACTCCATCAGAGCTTGTATGATGTACTTGTATGATGCTTAACTGTAGAGTTAATGGGCTAATCATATGTTTAGCATAAGCATATGCTTAAGTGCTTTGCTGGATTCAGGCATAAATAAATTAGGATTAAAACGTAACTACTTGACAAAATACTTCTAAAGACGGAGGGTAATTTATTCTCTCCCCAGGGTGAAAAGAAAGCACATGAGATTCATGTTGCATAGATTTTCTGCGTTTCCTCTACTGGGATTTTTAAAAGTTGAATAATAAAGTACTTAAATATTTAAGTTTTCACTTGGGCTGGAAATTCCATGTGGTTTAACTGTAGAAAAGGTAGGGTGTGCCCAGACCTCACAGCGGAATGCTGACAAACAGAGGTGAAACTTTCTTACTCGT